TAACCACTGAGCAACCATCTAGGACTAACAATATACGTTTTATTTAAAGAGATTTTTTTTTTAATGGGCACAGAAAGGGAATGAAATAGAGAAATTGAGACAACACTAACTGTGGCCACTCTCTTCCTAACACATTTATTTATTTTAATTTTTTAATCTTATTTTTCAATTACAGTGACTATTCAATATTACTTTATATTAGTTTTAGGTGTACAAGCATAGTGCTTAGACAATTCTAGAATTTGCAAAGTGATCCCCCGATAATTCAAGTATCCACTTGATACCCTACAGTTATTACAATATTGCTGTACTTTACACCCCCATGGCTATTTTGTAATTACCAATTTGTACTTCTTAAGCTATTTAATTTTTTTATGCAGCCTCCCATCTTTCCTCCCATAGGGCAAATGTCAGTTTATTTTCTGCATCTATGAGTCTGTGTCTGTTTTGTTTATTTTGTCCTTTAGATTAAGTGGAATCATATGGCATTTATCTTTCTCTGTCTGACATATTTAATGTAGCTTAATCACCGCTAGGTCCATCCATGTTGCCTCAAGTGGTAAGAGTTCATTCATTTTTATGGTGGAGTAATATTCCAGTATATACATGTTCTACCTCGTCTTTATTCCATCGATAATGATAGGCACTTGGGTTTCTTCCACATCTTAGTTATTGTAAATAATGCTGCAATAAACTTATGGTTGCACATATCTTAAAAACCAGGAGGATGCTGGTTGTTACATTGCTCTTTGTGTACACAAATTTTATGAGGCTTAGAAACAGGTCATTCATGGCAGTGACATGGCTAAGTTGTACTGAGAGCAGGGGCAGAAGGCTGCTTGTTTTTCACGGCTGAGTTTATGTTGTGATTGGCAGGACAGTTCGATTTTAAAGTTTGCATATTTTCCTGTGGACATGTGGTTTTTCATCAGAAAGGTAGCATATAATATTGCTTCTGGGATCTTGGCAGCATTGCTGTGAAAACAGGTAAAACTTCCTAAGCAAATTATAGGTTTAAAAATTTTAGGTCATTGCATAGGGCCTTCTGTTGATCATCCACAGAATTGTCATAAATGGGAAGTGAAAGACATGGTACATAGTTTAAAGTAACAATTAACATTATTCTTGCTTCAGTGCAGCATCATTTCAGGTATTAAAGAACAAATTATTTAGCACAGAAATCCTCTGCTATGAATTTTAGCAGCACAACTTTTATTTTATTGCAAGATACACAATCGTATATACAATGCATAATTATCATCTTAAAAGTAACAAAATGTGAATAATCAACATCATAGTAAAAAATATATGAGTATACTTTTCTTGCAGAGAATAAAATCACCTTAGGGATGAGAGATCTCCTTATTTATGCTGAATCTTCCAAATGGCTCTTGGTTAGAAAATAAATCTTATTGAACGAACATACAAACTTGTCACAGTTTTCTCCTTAAACAGTGCTAATGTAAAGCCAGCCAACATATTTATTTCAGTAATTCATCTTACTGTGTCCCAACACTAGAAGAAACGCCCATAAATTGTCTGATAATGGTTTACAAATTTAAGAACTTTTTTTATTTTATTGATTTTTTTACAGAAAGGAAGGGAGAGGGATAGAGAGTTAGAAACATTGATGGGAGAGAAACATCGATTAGCTGCCTCCTGCACACCCCCTACTGGGAATGTGCCTGCAACCAAGGTACATGCCCTTGACTGGAATCAAACCTGGGACCCTTCAGTCTGCAGGCTGACACTCTATCCACTGAGCCAAACTGGTTAGGGCAAACTTAAGAACTTCTATTTCTCAGTAACACATCATAGAATGGAGCTATTTCCTTAAAATTTATGTGAATAGTTCTTTTTTCCCCCCAGAAAAACTATTTTTTTTTTAAATTATGCTTCCTTTTTTAGCATAAAGCCTAAAGTTTTTAAACTCTCTGCATCCAGGACACTCTTAGGTTCCTAAGAGTAGTCTGAGACACAAACACTCTCCTCCCAGTTAGGATATGAGTTTTTTCACCCGCACACCTCTTGCATATCTGTTTCATTTCTCTGAATGTTTCTGACCCCTTACTAGATTCTGACTCACGAAGCTGTTTCCCAGGTTGGAAGATAGAGGTCATGTAGAGAGATAACTTGAGGATACATGCAGCTCTAGTCTCAAAGAGCCAGGGAGCAGTGCCCTCCTTGCTGTGATGGGAGAACAGGAGCATGAAGAGATGGGACATAGCTGGGCTTGGACAAATGTATTGTATGGAATGATGAAGGAATCACAATACAAGCACTGCTTCATGACAGTACATACACTTTCACCCATTCATGCACACACATACACACTTTTAATGGAGAAATACATTTGTATTTTATTTTTCCTTACACACAATTCACTTTATCATTCTTTAATGCAGTGCCCTTAAATGACATGACCATCCTCCCTCCTCTTTCATTTTGTGGAGATGGGTGTTAACAATAATGAAACATCTAACACCCTGCAGGGTCACTTAGAGCTACTTCCCTCTCCTTGGGCTGCAGACTTAAAGAGATGGAAAATACCCAGGCTAAAGCCTAGGTTCTAATAATGGCAACTGGTGCTATGAAGGCATGTGTGGTGCTAAGTTAAAGAGAACGCATTACTGAAAGCTTGTTCCATGATTTTATCCCTGTTAGAGTTTGGGTTTTACCATTTTAAAGAGGTTTCTATATTTCCCACATCAGTAGGATTTATTTCTGAAAGTATTTGCTATCCAGATCTCCTTCCTGCATGATATCCAAGATTTTTAACCATGGAGTGAATATCAACCAATATTTAACCCATTTCCAAAAGAACACCTAAGAAAAATCAATACAATTTAAGAAATATTCAAAGGAGCTCTATGTTGTTTTTTAACATTTTTTATTGATTTCAGAGAGGAAGGGGAGGAGAGGGGGGGAAACAGAGAGTGAGAGTGAAAGAGAGACATAAATGATGAGAGTCATTCATTGATCAACTGCCTCCTGCACACCCAACACTGGGGATTGAGCCCACAACCCGGGCATGTGCCCTGACCAGGAATTGAACCATGACCTCCCGGTTCACAGGTCAATGCTCAACCACTGAGCCATTCCAGCCAGGCAGAGCTCTATGTTTTTATCATGAAAAACCTCACCTTGCTGCCATGGATTAGGTGCCATGAAAACCTGGAATTGACTAATTGACAAACATCATCATATTAAAATTCTGAAGCCACATTTAAAACCTCCAATCTAAAAAGAATATATGCACAAGAGAGAGAGCACACACAGTGAACAGAACTTACAGAAGTAGTGATGTGTATATATAGGTCCATACCTTTGATTTTCCAATTGAATTTCAAAGGGGCCTGTCCTGATAACATATCATAATATATAGGCTAAAGAAGAGTGTTATTTTTTTTATTTTTAAAATATATTTTATTGAATTTTTACAGAGTAGAAGGGAGAGGGATAGAGAGTTAGAAACATGGATCAGCTACCTCCTGTACATCCACCACCGGGGATGTGCCCTCCTGTACCTCCACCACCGGGGATGCGCCCGCAACCAAGGTACATACCCTTGACTGGAATCGAACCTGGGACCTTTCAGTCCGCAGGCCAACACTCTATCCACTGAGCCAAAGCAGTTTCGGCAAGATGAGCATTATTTTTAAATTACCCCCTTTTCTGCCCAGGCAAATGACAGAAAAAGCCATTTCTTCTGAAACCATAATTTTCAGGAAAAGGAAGGGGAATTTATATGTCATCTGAAGTTTCAGCAAAATTACCCTCAATGTGATGCTCATGGCATTATCCTCTCAGGTATGCTCTTCAGAACCCAGTGCAAGGGGTGTTCAGGCACCACGGGTGACGTAATGTCCTCATTCAGATCACAGTTAGGACCAATTCTGCTTTCCATCGAAAGCCACAGAAGAATCACTTGAGATTTAAATGAGCAAAATGCCTTCCCTTTCTGGATACAGAAAATGTGGTAATAGGTATATATTCAAAAGAGATATTGCATATAAGCTAGATTCGGCAAAGGCTACAACCTGGGAGTGAGTTAAATATTCCCCCGAGTTGTGGACACTATGAAGGGCTAATTGGTGTTGAGTGATGTGCCGTTGAGTGATTCTCAGAGAGAAGCTGATGTTGCAGCAAAATGTCTCAGCATCACTTTAAATAACTCGGGGACATTATTAACATGCTCTCCAGCAACTGCCTGGGTTTATGGCAAACCCATTCCTTGTTTGCACATGTACTATTATTTACAGGTGGAACTTCTATATACTTGTGGTGATACTTAAACCAATTTATGTTTCTTAGCCTTATTATGAGATTATCTATCTCAATAGCATGCTAAAAATATAGTTCTTCGGAGAATTAAACTATATTGTAGTCCATCTTGTATATGTTTAAATATCGAGATAATTTTCTATGATAAAGGAACAACAGACTTTTCAGGTATGGATCCAAGTCAAACTTCAGATAGCATCCTCACCTCGCAATGTGTGTCCGTGTAGCATAAAGTGAGCTGGGCACGGCCCCTGTAAATGGTTGTCGTTGTTACTGTCCATGTTAAGCATCGGGATTGGATGCCCACTAGGCCCTGAAACCAGCATTTTGTTTGGCTTCGTTTTCTATACGGAGCTTTGGAAACCAGCATTGCATAGGAAGCCCACAGCAGCCGAGTCCTGAAGTCAATCTAGGAAACCAGAAGAAAAAGGCTTGTTTCTTGTTCATCAGAGGAACTGGAAACTAGCCTTAGCTTCCCTGCCCTTCCGAGGGGCTGTATTTGCTCCCTCGGTGGTACTCAATCCCTACAGCCTTGATGCTTCCATTGACCTGGGTCCCTACTAGAGCCTCAGGGATGACCTCAGGCCGTGAGATTTCCTAAAGTTTGTACGAAATTCTACTTTTCCACCTCAGACTGCAGTAGTGATCTGAGTTGAACCCAGATCGTTGAACTCTTCTCTTCCCGGAGAACCGTAAGAGGACATCTCCACGACTAGTCATACCGGTTTGTTTAGCCCATCCACATCCCTCCCGTAAGCAGGATCCTGAACCGTGTTTCTGACCCTGCTGGTGCTCTGCCGCTCCATCCTCATCTTGATGGGGAAGCAGAAGTCCCTGAAACACCGCTTGAAATTCTCGTCGAGGAAGGCGTAGAGGATGGGGTTCAGGCTGCTGTTGGTGTAGCCCAGGGCGATGCAGAAGTAGAAGCTGGAGAGGGCGGCCGTGCTGTGCGAGGTGCTGCCCAGCGCCTCCACGAGGATGAAGATGTGGATGGGGGTCCAGCAGACGATGAAGACGGCCACCACCACCAGGACCAGCCTGGTGATGCGCCGCAGGTTGCGGTCCTTCTCCCGGGAGCCCGAGAGGAGCCGGACGCTCTTCAAGCGCAGGATCATCAGGGTGTAGCAGATGATGATGATGACGACGGGGATCACGAAGGCAAAGACGAAGACGCAGATCTTCATGAAGAGGTCCCACCACGCGTAATCGTCATCCGGGAACTGCAAGGAGCACTCGATGACATCCAAGTCTGCAAGGACAACACCGCGATGCAAACAGCACCGCGAGAAGGAAAGTGTCATTACCGTGGCTGCCAAGTGGTTTTCTTTTTTGTTTTTCATTTTTTTAAAAATTAAGGTATTATATGTGTACATATCTTACCATTGCCCCTCCCCCAATACATGCTCTCCCTCCCCAGAGTTTTTCGTCTATTGGTTTTGCTTATATGCATGCATACAAGTCCTTCGGTTGATCTCTTATCTTCCCCATATCTCTCTAACCTTCCTGCTATAATTTGACAGTTTGTTGCTTTACTGTCTCTGTATCTATCTTTTTGTTCATCAGTTTATAATGTTCTTTATTATCCATAAATGAGTGAGGTCATGTGGTGTTTCTCTTTCATAGACTGGCCAAGTGTTTTAAATGTGGATTTTAATATTTTTTGGTTGTGAAGATCCGATCATAGTGAGATGGCATACCCTGAAGCAAATCACCTTGTGAGGAATGAATGCCATGTGTATGTCCTATCTGTGTGGATGGGACAATGAACCCAGAAAGTCCCCATTTCTTGGTAGCATACACTAAACTACAGGCTAAACTAAACTAGCTATCAATAGGAATTATCTAGTTGTGGAAGCTGATTTGACATTGATGACTTTCAGAACAGCTAACTTATTAATTTACAGCACGAGCACTTATTTGCATTATTAATAATTCTCCCAGACCCAAGGCTCTGGCAATAAAAACTAGTATTTATTTGTAATAAATGACTAGATGTTGCAAGTCTAACCATTTAATTTAATAAAAGCCAATTTGTCCTAAAATATTAGCTGGTTTACAAGAAACCATTAGGTAGGTAAGTAAAAATTTATATGAAATTTTTCTAAATATGACCCAGGTACTATGATTTAATGAAACCAGTGGTGTTCCTTGTGATTAAGGACATTGTTGAAACATGAATAAACTTCTAGAGAAGAAGAAGAAGGTGGAGGAGGAGGAGAAGAAAAACTAGAAGAAGGAAGAGAAAGAGAAGGAAGAGGATGATCATCATTATCAAGGAAATTCAAAAATCAGACACATATTTTATTTTTACCAACATTGACTATGTAACAGATAAAAACAAATATTTTATATGATTACTTAGAAAACTGCTTTATTGGTTCTGCTTCTCTCTGTGGGAGAGTATGCTTTGGAGTGACCGGGAACAGCAAAGACCAGGATAAGTACCTTTTGTAATACTTTCATTGAGGATCCACTCACCCCTCCAGGGCTCTCCTCTTCCCTAAGCATCAACCAGCCCACACTTTTTCTTCTTGCCTCTGAGCAGTCATTAAGCACAGAACATGGCAAAACTCTCTGTCCTGATCCTTCCTTATGAATAAAGTAATTGTGGGCAATATTGAGTGTAATTTTTATAATGAAAATATGTTCACACTGGCTGGTTTGGCTCAGTGGATAGAGCACTGGCTCATGGACTGGAGGGTCCCAGGAAAGGGCCCTTATCTCATTTGCAGGCTGGATTCCCCTCCTGGTTTGGGCTCCTATCAAACAATGTCTCTATGATATGGATGTTTCTTTCTCCCCGTCCCTTCCACTCTCTCTCAAAAAGCAATGGAAAAATACCCTCAGGTGAGGATTAAAAATATGTAAACATATAATATATTTTCTTCTGATGTTGGAAAACTCTGCTTCAAAAATACCATGAGTATGTTTAAACAAGGAAACAGTTCTATGAGTAATGTTTTCTAAAACATTTGAATGTGACCTTAATAAAATATTCCTCAATAAAACAAAATGTATCTTTTTATCATTTCAATTACATATACTTTAAAATACAAAAAATATAATCAACTAAGTATCAGCAAGCCTTTTATAAAATAAAATCTCCTGGAAAAACTTGTAATTTTTGAGTCTCTACAAAAATCATTGTCCAAAATACTGTTACTATGAGAAATGAACAATTTTTGTTATAGTATTTGTAGGACTAAGAAGAGTTAAAATGATTTTTTAAAATCATCACTATTATCATAGGGAAAAAAAAGTAGTTATTAAGCAAATTTTGATGGGTGGCACATTGCAAAAACCTGAGTTTAAAAAATATTTTACCTTGATCGTCTAATCACCATATTGTATACTTGAAAGCAATATATATATATATATATATATATATATATATATATATATGCCTAATATGCTAAGTGTCCTATTGATCAGTCTACTGTTCAGTTGACCACTCAACCAGTCACTATGATGCACACTGACCATGAGGGGGCAGATGCTCCAACCAGTAGATTAGCTTGTTGCTGGGGTCTGGCTGATTGGGACTGGGTGAGATGGCTCCAATCGTCCTCAATCACCAGCCAGGCCAAGAACCCCACCCATGCAGGAGTTCATGCACCAGGTCTCTAGTACAAAATAATACTGAAAGTAAATTGAAATTTAAAGATACAAAAACAAAGTACTATTTTGAAAAGAAGCATCTCAAAATATTTGTTTTGCAATATTGATTGAAAGAAAAAAATTCAAATTTATATATGGTTTGGATGTCAGCTAAAATATTCAGGATTATTTTTCTTAGACATCACTAATAAAGGACAGTTAAAAAAGAAAAAGAATATTTTACCCTGGGTTTGACTTGTCTGTTGAATCTAGCTTGTCTGTTGAAGGTAAGGAATATTTTTTTTCCTGCTAAAGTTTTATGTATTCTAACATTGTCTCTTCCTTGTGGTTGGCCTCAGCTAAGATATGGAAACGACCTAAATATCCATTAATGGAAGAATGAATAAAAGATGTGTGAGAGAGATATAATGAAATATTATTCAGCCTTAGAAAAAAAGAAAATCCTGACATTTGTAACGACATGGATGGACCTAGTATACATTATGCTAAGTGAAATAAGTGAAATACAAAAAGACAAATACTATATGATCTTACTTATATGTGGAATATAAAATAGTCAAACTCATAGAGGCAGAGAGTAGAACTAGAGGCTTGTGCGGGAGAGATGATGGCCAAGGGTACAAACTTTCAGATATGCAAGTGAATAGGTTCTGGACATTTACTCTGCAATATAGGCCCAGTAGCTAAAAATACTGTACTGTAGACTTAAAATTTGCTAAGATGGGTAAATCTTATGTTAAATGTTTTTAACATGAATACAAAAGTAATAATAAAGAGGGCAGGAGGAAACTTTGAAAAGTGACACATATGTTTATGCTCATGATGGGATCATGGTTTCACAGGTAATTACCCCAAAACTTATTGAGTTGTATGCACAGCTATTTACATGTCAAGCATAACATAATAAAGTGCTGTTTTTAAATTTTTAAATCTTTATTGAAGAGAATATTATAGATATCTTCCATATTTCCACCATTGACCTCCTTCACCAAGTTCCTACTCCATCTCAGGCCTTCACCACACTGTGTCCATCCTAATATATAAAAACCCTGGGTCTGTCACATCCACAATAACCAGAGACTCGACCTAATGCCCAGACCGTGCACACAGAAGGTTCTGGTAGGTGGGGATTTGTGGCAGTGGAGACAGGGGATGTAGGGCCGACACTCACACTCACTCACAACTTCACATACAAACAGACACACACAGTACCCACCAGCTCATAGCCTTTTCTTCCTTTCTTTTCCTCCCTCCCAGCTCACTCGTGGAGCCTCTCTCAGAATGAGGAAACAAAACAGACTGGGCCTGAAGATGCCTGGATGGAAGGGAGGATGGGCAGAGGATGGAGCAGCACCCACTGGCCCCGCTCCCTCCCAGCAGGGAAAGAGGAAAAGGGACACGGGATGTAGGGAGGACTGGAGGACTGCTGAGAAAAACAAAGAGTGACAGAGACTGGACAAGACCAGGCTAGCAGGGGAGGGCAGTTAGGGGTGATCAGGCAGGCAGAGACAGTTGGGGGCAAGATCAGGCCAGCAGGGGAGAGCAGTTGGGGATGAGATTAGGCTGTCAGGGGAGGGCAGTTAGTAGTGATCAGGCAGGCAGGCTGATGAGTGGTTAGGAGCCAGCAGTCCCAGATTGCAAGAGGGATGTCTGATCTCACAGGGTGCAGGCTGCGCTGAGGGTCCCCCTATGCACAAATTTCAGGCCACTAGTATGCATATAAATTCCTTGCTTAATCTTTGTCCCCTTTCCTCTGAGATATATCAGTTTGTGCCATGCTTCCATGATTCTGGATCTATTTTGTTCATTGGTTGATTATATCCCACATATAAGTAAGATTATGTGATACTTCAATGTCTCTGAATGGCTTATTTTGCTTAGCATAATGCTCTCCATCTCCCGCCATGCTGTCTAAAAGGGTAAGAGTTCCTTTTTTGTAGCTGCATAATATTTTATTGTTTTTATCCTCAACCAAGGATATGTTTTTATTGATTTGTCTTTTTACAAAGAGAAGAAGGGGGAGGGCAGAGGAGGGGGAAAGGGAGAGAAACATCCATCAGTTGCCCCCCTACAAACTCTGACTGGAGATTGAACCCCTGACCTAGGTATGTGCCTGATCAGGAATTGAACCTGCCACCTTTTGGTGTATGTGACTATGCATGGGTCCCTTTTTAGGGAGAAAGAAGAGGTGCAAGGAGGTATCTAAAAATTGCCAGAATACAGTGGAATTGTATTTCATAAATCCACTTGCCTATTGTTCCTTAACTTCAGCCCCATTTCTCCAGATTCTGATAGCACTTTCGAAATGGGAGATAGGTTGGGCTCTGTATTCAGGTAATGTCATTATCTCAGCTTGTGTTTAAATATGAAAAGGGACACAAAATTGTTTTATTTCTCATCTTGCATGGATTTAGGCATTATATTCCCATTGTCTTTTGTCTTTTCCACTAGATGTGTGTTCTAATCACTCCCAAATTAAGATTTTATTCCATTAGAAGTATGCTTAAAACATTAAATGAAAATGCCTGCCCTTACCTTCCCTGACTTTGGTTCCTCCAAGGACAATCGCAGATATGCCAACAGAGGAAGACAGGAGCCAAATACAGATATTGATGATCTTTGCCTTCAAGGGTGTGCGAAAGTCCAGCGCCTTGACAGGGTGGCACACAGCAATGTATCGGTCCACACTCATCATGGTCAAGGTGAAAATGCTAGTAAACATGTTGTAGTAGTCAATGGAAATGACTATCTTGCACAGCACATCCCCAAAGGGCCAGGAATTCATCAGATAAACTGTGCTCTGGAAAGGCATGGTGGTAGTAACTAAAGCATCAGCCAAAGCCAGGTTAAATATATAAATGTTGGTCGCCGTCTTCATCTTAGTGTACCTAAAAAGACAAGAAATGAGATCATTTCCTTCCATCTTTATGCCAAATCCATGAGGTAAAAATGCTTGTGAAAGCCTGTGGATTACTGAATTTGCCTTCATTCCTTCATTTTTCAAATGTTTATTGAATATTTAATATTAGTAAAAGAAATACTCTAGACTTTAGGAGTAACATAATAATGGCCCCAAATCTCTGACTTTTGCTTTTATTCTACTGCGTTGTTCAAAAGTTAATTTAAATTAAAAATTAACAGGGAAAGAAAACAGCATAGATAAATAGGATATACATAGTATAGAGCTTCTCAACAGACTTGCATGTAATACAGGTCTTTTCAAATTCACTGGCTACATTACAACTAAGTTTGTTGGTTTTAATTTGCCACCGTGCACTGGTTTTTCATTTGCAATGCATTCTGTAAACAAAGCAGACCGAGTCCTTCCTTTATACATGTCATAGCACTCAATGTAATCTGGTTCAGCTGCTGAAAAAGAATTCTGTTCTGCTTTACTCCCACCTTGAGTGAGTTTTCAAGCACATAATTTGTTTCATCTTCCAAATGTGGGAAGAGTAATTTAAAAGTAGGTCAGAAAGATTGCCTTTAAGCCCAAATTATTCTTTTCATTACAACATGGAGTTTAGTACAATTGCATTTTCAACTAAAACCAAATTAAGAAAATTCTCTCACTTAGAGTGGGATTCCTCGGGGATCTTTAGGGCATGAAATGTTCCCAACGATATCAGCAGGCTTTCAGAGGCCAAATGCCAACATATGTTTGGAAAATCCATAAGTTATTACTTTCTACGCACTTCAGATTTGTAGACTTCATAATTAATTCAGCTATGCCCACTGAGCCTTCAGGGAGCCAGGCTTTCTCAAACGTATGGTCATGACTTTTATTAAAGGTCATTTAAAAGGAGTTATCTTATGGAAAACCACTTCTGCTTTGGCTATAAAATCAATATCAATGGCATTCATTGATCACTGTGTTGGTGTTATTCAAGACATAAATTTGCCACATGAGAAATTTCTTCTACCATGAAATGATAGAACAGCCTTGGCTCCATTTGGAAACAATGTGGACTAATGGGAAGTCAAATAGTCCTGAGTCTGAACTCAGTATAAGACTTTTGTGAGTTTTGGTTCCTGTGAAATAAGGTTAATAAAACCAAACTAGCAATCCATGAGATAAAGGCAGTGGACGGCCTCATTCAAAATATCTGACACTGAGGATCACATTTCACTCTCAGTCTCCTAATTCCACCCCCTACCCTTTCCCCATGCCCAATCTTCCCTTCCCCTCTTCCATTCTTAAGAAACATATTTGTTTGTGCTTGAATAAAAGCAACAGAAGGATTGGTACTACAGTTAATATTGTTTGTTTTCCATTTTGATGCTCTGTTGGCTAAGCAGTGCATTAACCTGGAGAGTGGGGAGTTTATTTTAAAATATGCTTTGTCTCACAGGTTTTATTCAAATGTTTTTAAATGTCCCATAAGCTTTAGAAAGTGATTCAGTGTGCAAGGCCAATGCTCAGAGCATAAGTTTTATAAAGGCGTAGATAACTAAGCAAGTACATTTTCTGAGGCAGAGCCAAATATTTCTAATGAGTGCACTGAAATGCTATCTGTTCAGACATGGTCTTCTTAAAAACATGGTTTTATGTTTGAAAAATGCATCTTACAAGTTGACCTCTTACTCTTTCAACATTCTCCCCCCAAATCCCTAATACTAGCCAAGATTCAGACAAGTAATATTTTTGACTTCTAATCTCGCATCGTTTCCCTGATTTTCTTTTCTTCCTCTATAAAGTTAAAGTGGTCTCTGCCATACACGATTAGGCAGACCTGAGATGTAGACATGTTTCCTCCCAACTGTCAGACTTTGGAGAGGTCACTAGAAACCCTGAGCTGCAGTTTCCCAACTATAAAGTGGGAAATAGAATGCCAGTTTCCTAAAGTTCCTGAAATAATTAGTAGCTTGCACCTGGCCTGGAGAACATGTCTAATTTATTTCATGTTCCCTAACTCCTCTTTCCTCTCTTATGTGCTGGAAGCCTCTGTAAAATTCCCTATTCTGTGAATTTCTCCAAGTAATGTAATTACAAATGGCATGGCAGGAATTCACACCCAGAGGTTGGATCCCAGCTCCTGCATTCTTAACTCTCCCCAGCACCAAACTCAATATGTTGACTTCCATGTAGCTTATTTCATTCTCACAACAACTGCCCTTCAAGTTTACCCTGGAGATTTATGTCTTTTCCCCCAGTGGAGGTGAAGAAAGTTAGACTCTGATAAGTAATTTGTCTAGTGTTCGCAGAGGCAGAGGCTCAGTGGGAGGATCTGGAGGGGCAGGAGAGCAAGGCCTTCCTCCCACGTTTCTAAAAGACAGATGCTTATAGTCCTGCAGCACCACAAAGGGAGGACTAAACGGATATAATTAAAAGTAATAAATAAGCAAAGACTTCAACAAATATTTATGGACAGCCCTACATCCTACACTGGCCTGGATCCATAAGACAAAACTTTCACCCTCCACGATAGTCTCATTGAGCTGTTGGGTATTGTTTGTACTTAACCAAAATGAAACAGTACTTAGTCCTCTGGTCACTATATGTCCATTGGTGGAAAAAAAAACAAAAAAAAACAAGTAAGCTTGCCCTAACTGGTTTGGCTCAGTGGATAGAGTGTCGGCCTGCCGACTGAAGGGTCCCAGGTTTGATTCCGGTCAAGGGCATGTACCTTGGTTGCAGGCACATCCTCAGTAGGGAGTGTGCAGGAGGCAGCTGATTAATGTTTCTCTCTCATTGATGTTTCTAACTATCACTCTACCTTCCTCTCTGTAAGAAATCAATAAAAATATTAAAAAAACACACACACACACAAGTTTTCTTACTCTGAGAGGATATAACATTATTTTCCATCTCCTCCACACTGCTTTACTAAAACTCACAAGTGTTTCAAGTAAAATGGCATCATCTGGGTGGGCATCTGGGGCTTATGTGGAGAGGCTGGAGGTGGGCTGGCAGCGAGTGGTGGCACTTTTTAGCACACACACCACAGGAGCATATGGCACTAAAAGAGCAAAGACCGTGGGCTGTCCCCACTAAACCTGACAATGTGACAAACCTGAAAGCAACAGTATGGTGTACCAGCAGAGGCGGGGGAGCAGGCCCAAAAGAGGGGTCAACTAGGGAACTGAGAACCAGCCCGAGGCAACATGGCGGAGGGTGTCTCCAGTAGTAACAAACGCTCCCCACGATACTTTAATTCAAGACCTTCCCAGTGTAGTGCTCATTACAGAGAATCAAGGCGTGGCTCTTAGATTGGCAACCATACATGCTGGTGTGATGGCAAAGGAAACCAAGTTACCTGCTGAGATATCAGGAACCAATGTCACCAGGCCGTGTTTCCGGGAAACTGTGATACCAGCATCCCAAGAAGCAGGTACCCCATGGGGGCAATGTTCTGACACAGTGGACTCAGGGCTTCTGGCCCTTACCTTGCACCTGCTGTTCTCAGACAACATGCAAGGGGAAGGTCATTCCTGGATTATTAGAATGTCTTGCTATTGAGGTGTACTGTCCAAGTGCTTTGTTTTTTCATTTAAGTCCTGATTCATTAATCAGAAGCTCCTTTTTAGCTTTATGACAGCATGATAAGTCCACAATCTTGATGGCTAAGTGAAGTATGGTAGCAACCATACTTGGGTAAAAATTACTGTTTAATATTTTAACCTTGCTGTTTTGGGTTCTGCACTCATTTAAAAGTTATTTTTGATGTTCTGAACTTATGTATGATTGAATTTCTCCCTTGATGGCAGTTTGAATAGCCCACTGATTGTGATCTTACTGGTCATCGAAGCACATTCCTCTAGGATCCATGACAGTTCAATTATCCTAAATTGTCTCAGTAGCTATGGATAACTGAATTTCGGTTGACTAGTGGTCCCGGAATCAGAAGAGCACAAATTATCCTAAATTGCCTCAGTAGCTACAGAGAGTGCATTCCTGTTGACTCAGTGATCCCAGAATCTGGACAGCACCATTATTCTAAATTGCCCCGGTGGTTCCAGATAATGTGTTTCTGTCGATTCAGTGATTCGTAGATAACTAAGTTGCTCAAATTCTGCTTCTGTAAAAATGCTTTTTCGAGAAACAGATTCCTCATTCCAGACCCAAAGATGTAATCGATACTTTTGTGATATTCTGCCAATATAAGCCAGGTGTGGTAAGCTGTTTGGGGCTGTGAGTTCTGGAGTGCTTTTGCTTCCTCGTATGTGCCGGCTTTTAATAAATGACTCTATAATCCAACTTTCTGAGGTGTTCTTTGTAAGATGGGGTACATCACAACATAAGCACCAATTACTTAGCACAGGACTTGGTACTTGATAATTGCTCAGTGAATGCCAGCCCTCCTTGTCATGTTGCTGCTCCTGCTGCTGCTATTATTGCTACTGTTATTATTAGTTATCTACTACCATCTAAATAACCCGTATCACAATCCCATAAGATATCAATGCCCCAATTTTTTTTTCTGGAGATGATTTTCATACTCCATATCTAATAAGTAAAGGAATTCAGGACTGTCATTCCAAAGCTTCTTAAGGAGTCAGGAATTTCATCAGAGAAATAATGTGATTCTGAGACTAATGCCACCTCCATTAGCTAAAGATTGAACAACATTCTGATTAGTGTGGTCACCTATGTGTCATGAGGGTAGACACGTGACATGAGGTAAGAGGGCATAGTCCAGAAGGTAACACTGATGTAAAACATTAGCATGCTGCCCCTCGACGGACAAAGGCTGCCAAGTACGTTATGCTGTTTGAGTTTTTCCAAAGGCACTGCCCATTTTTCAGATGCGGAAACTGAGTAAAGAGGAAGTATCTGAATTGCCTGAAACCACAAATTTGAGAGACAATGGGGAAGTACAGGTCAATGGTCGGCAAACTCATTAGTCAACAGAGCCAAATATCAAGGGTACTTGATATCAACAACAAT